CCAAGCGGTTGCCTATCAACATGGCACACAGGTGCCCATCATCATCGGCATACAGGAGACCCTTCACATCGGTGCCCAGTCACCTCTTCGGCGCCCAGTCGCCTCACATCATGGTCGTCCCCCTTTAGCACGTAAGTGGCACCTTTCATGGACCGGCCAGAGCCAGCCGAGTGCCCTGGCCATGCGACTTGAGGTCATGATCCAGTGCTACTGACCTTAGTGGAGCCATCTCATCGGGCAACTCCTAGCCTTGCAGTCCACAAAGGCTTGTCTTGGCCTACCTTGGCCTAGACGTTGCATGGATTTCTTCCGCTGTAGAACTACCCCCGTGATAGTTGGTACCAGAGTAAGCTAGCCAATTGTTGCTGCAGTTGGTGTCAAGCAGATTAGCCGACAGCCAGTTGAAGCGGTCATCTCGACAAGCAGCACATTGTGGGGTGCGGTCCCTAGGCACTTCCACCTAAGATCAAGCAGAATTCAGATCAGGCCTAGTAAGAGGCCATTCATTGTTCGTGTCCCCATTCCAATGACCCCAAAACAGTGCCCTTGTGGGGGGCAGACACATTGGTTGTTGTGCTCATGCGGGAGCAGACGTGTGAGCCTTTTTTGGAAGGCTTATTGTGGCAATTTGAGTGGGGGAGTACCATGCTTCCTCACGGACTTCAGTTGCTGTTCATTTTGGTGAGGTGTTGGGCGGTGCGCCTACATCTTGGCTTCATGACAGATGAGCCATTGTTCCGTAGCTTTGTCTGAGGCACTACTAAGGCGGGGATAGCAGTCCGACGGTTGGTTAAGGAATATCACTAAAGTGGAAATTTTGCACAAAACAGGTCCTCGGTTGAAGCCACAATATTGGAATGTTAGGACTGTGGGTACACTAGTCGTTGGAGCATGGCGGCCCTACACCAGCAATGCATCGGAGAACATGCTCAGTTCACAGGCAGAACACTTGCAGCAGCGAAAGCGCATCACAAGGCGAGTGCATGTTCGGCAACATCATGGGTAAAAGTTACCACCACTCGCACACATTGCAGTCAGATCTCCTTGAGGCAGCAGCACATTGGGGCCCCCTCGGAGCGAAGATGTAGCCCGAACCGGCGAGGTGAAGTGTAGTTTCGAGGGCCAAGAGAGCATAAGCCATGACTAGGTTTGAGTAACCCGCACACAGCGTGGTGAAGACCGCATGCCAGCATGGTGAAAGGGTACACCCAGCGCACATCGCCTAGACCTATCACATCGTGTTCGGTAGCACCACCGAAAAGCTACCAAGAAGACGGTCGAGCCTTGAGGTAAAGATGATACATGGGGCAGACCTCCGCGAAGCACCACATCCAATTTCTTCGAGGGCCCTTCTCACACAATTCAACGGCATAGCCATTGCGCGGTTTGAGTAACCTCAACACTGGGGGTGAAGTCCAGGCAGGCCGGCATGGTGAAATGGTTCTATCCCCATAAATGGACACCAATATAGGCAAGACCTGGGTTGGCCAGGCGAGCCCTGGAACTGGCAGAAAAGTGGATGGCGCGGGACACAAACACCCATTCACGAGAAGACCATTGTCGAGGATGACAATGGATTGAGTGGGGGAGCCAATTACGGTCTGACACAGGCTTAGCCTTGCCTACACTTGGCAGGCTTACGTTAAGGGACACCATCATCATTTTTGCCTATAAGATTTTTGGGAGAATTGATGTTATCTCCAGGCAGACCACCAAAAGCTTAACATACTCTTTGAGGAGGGGTGGTCGACCTCCTTAGGTACCTAACCTTGGCACTCCTAGACCATCATCCCTTACGGGGCGACCCTGGTTAATGACTAGCATGGCTACCAGGGTTCCTCATGGGCGCACACATGCTCATGGGAACAGTGCATGGACCGGCACTGCGCTACCGAYACTCAAGGGAGGCTTGGCATGCGGGCCTGGCTCAAGCATGTCCCTTCACTTCGCCAGCCCCTTGCCCAAGCTGAGTGAGCTACCCCGTTGCCCTTAGCGCACGGGTGTGTTCCGGCCCAAGCGGTTGCCTATCATCATGGCACACAGGTGCC